TTTATTTTGTTCAATTCAAATTTAGTTTAATTAAAAAAAAATCCGGAATGATTGAATGCGCACTATGCAAAGTATTGATAAATAATATATTGGCTACATTTTATACTTGCTATAATTATTTGTGTTATTGTATAAATATCGCAATTAATATTGATTTTATCAATAATAATCGATATGATATTTAAAACGCGTAACAAAGCAAAAAGTATTTGGATTGAAACCTGAGTAGTATGTCTTGTATATTTGATGTCCGCATTGAGTATAGTGCTTCACTTATTTGAGAACGAAAGTCTTTTATCGATAGTTTTCTGGAAAGCTCAAACATCATTTTAATTTCTAAGTAGGTACAAAAGATATAAGAATTGCGAAAGGTAGCGGTTCACTAAAAGCACGGAATTCGATTTGCAACATAGCCGTCTCCTAGAACGGTCGACTGTGGTGTAAAAAATGTGGTGTACGCTTCTTGGAATACCGAATTCCTCAACATGGGGGGCTTATTTTAATAGGCTTAATAGCTGCCTGTGCAAACTGTGCTTAAGCATATAAACTGCCTGGAATTAATGTGGAGCTGATGAAAAGATAAATTTACCACTAATTTTCATCTGCATCCCGGACGGAAATTGTTTGCTTGCATTTCTAAAACAAAGCTGCTCACTGCAGCAATTTTTTTCTTTTACTTTTTTTTCTCATGCCCATCATTTCTCTCCTTGCTATAAAGTACTTCGCATTTTAAAGAAAACGCTGACTACATGGTTACTCAAACTTAAATTACCACATCAATTATACTAAATTAAAAAGCATAGACCAGACTAATTAGTACTATTTATTATATTAAAAAATATATAAGAATGTTACTCAAATAATGTGTATGTTGTTTTGAATAAAACAAATGTTAAATCTTTAATTACTTATAATGGGGACGAAAAGTACTGGTCAATATCCTTTTGAAACACTTATATATTTTTATATTTGTGTTATTATATTTCACATTTTTATTTATAACTATATTTTTTGTTGTAAGCTAATGTTTTTATAAAACAAGTTTTCTGGCAAATGGCATGTGTGCATCATTATTAATAATTAATAAATTCAATAATTGTTATAAAAATATTAAAATATAGTGATCTAAGAAATTATTACTTAATAGTCTCTATAGAGACTAGTCTATTTGAGAGGTTTAGTTTTTTTTATGTATTTAGATCCTTGAATAATGGTGACGATAAACTATATATTACTGTATCTTGACTTATGACATATTTTATCAAATATCTTTGATATTTTATAAGAAGTTTACTTTATAAAATTACTAACACACTTTAGCTTAGGGTGACTAATAGCCATATACATATATTATATTTTCTTATACATTTTTTTACTAATGTTTAAACAGTTTTTAACAATTGTAAGAAATCTGTCTCACATTTTATTTTATAAAGTATGCATACATTATGTCACAATATCACATATTATTCTTAATTGCTTTAAGAATTATTAAAATAAGTATAAGAAAAGTATTGGTGATTAAAGTTTGTAATTGACCTAATATATTTCAGTCAAAAACTCAGTGGCGTGCATAGCCATAAATCTATTATACTAAATTAATAACCCATCGGTGGGCCATGTCATTGTCAACGTCTTAAAATATACCAGTTCTCGTTATCATAATTCTACCTGGTATCTAGGAACCACAATATGTTCAATGTCACCTGCGATTTTTTTTCAAAATTGCTTAGGCCTCATAGATTACTTAAAAATTCTTGCGCACAATTTGATATAGATTTATTAATAATAAACCATAAAAATAAGAGATAATCTTAAATACAATTACATTATTAATTGTTATAATTTATTGTTAACAACAATGTATTACCATTGTATTTGTTTTGACAACTAAATAAATATTCGAATAAGTTTGTTGGATTTTACAATAGTTACATTTGCAATAACAAACTATTTTGTGTTATTGGTGCGCAATAGATGATCGGGCCAGCAAAATAAATCGAGAGTGTTTGGAACGGAAATTTCTCACGTAAATTAGGATGCGCGATTCCAAATCGTTTCCGTCATCCATCAACTACCCGATTCCGCCCACGTCAATCCAAAAACAACTCCAGTAACTCACATTACATAACTAATGTATTTACTATGTTCTTTGTTATTTAATTTAACTAATATATCATCCATGATTTATATTAATAATCTTTAGTCATCATTTACGTTTTCTATTTTAACCAAATTCATAGTATTTAGATAATCTGCACCAAACATCATAAATTATAATTATACTCAATGATAACAATTATTATGTTATATAAGAAAATATGAAAAAAGATACGTATTATTTTATACAATTTTTGTACAAACTATTGGTTTGTCCAGAAAGTTCGTGCCGAATTTCACTAATTACCATTGACTATAAACTAAATACATCAGAACTCTGAAAAACAATGAACTTGTGTATATATTCTAAAGTGAGATTTCAACCGCCTTGAGAACTAAGTTTTATTCTGATCAAATGTAATTGACAACTAAATGTGTCAATTACCCTCATGAAGATGGAAGAAAACAAAGTGCATTTTAGGCTTTGATACTTTTCTATTACTGTAAATCCAAAAATGCTAGTAAATCAATAATTAAGATATATTCTGTTTACGGAAAAGTTTATTTAACTAAATGAGGAATATAATTCTCTAAATTTAGAGCTGATGATTTCAGCCTTAAAGTTCTACTAGTAATAATGATGAAATCAAGTTTTGATAAAAATTCTTATGTAATAATAGAAAATAGCAAAATGGAAATGAATCTCTTTATACAGTTTTCTTAGACTATTATTGTAATTGTTGAATTAGTTAGATAAACGGGATTTAACAGATTATATGTTGACGAGGAAAATAATAAACTGCCTCTAGGTATTTACACTTGGTGCCAAAAGAGCGAGGAATTCCTTGCCAATTTTCTCCAATTTACTCTTGGTGTTTGTGAGTAAGCAACGTTCGGTGCAAAAAAAAATAGAAGATTTCTAAGGTGTATTTATAAACGCAGAGTAAACCACAAAAAAAATAAATCAAAGAAAAATAGCTTCGCAGTGATTGAATGCAGAATAACATTAGTTTCGATTAATGCACACCTTCAAATGTGATTTATTATTTATTTTTTCTTTCACCAATAAATTCCACACTTTATTCTTTCAACTTATTTCAATTATTCCAATAATATTTTTATTGGCATCTTATTGTTGAAATGTCCAAAAACTATTCGAATTCATTTTAGTTTTATAAAATATTTTTCTAAGATTATTGTTGTTTTCTGAAACATTTTCTATTTTTGGGTAATCCTAGATTTTCTTATTTTTTTTATATACATTAGATATAGTAAACATCAGAATAGAAGTAGACGGTTACAACTGTTTCACCTCAATCACATGCCATGTATACATTTACTTTCACTATGTATCCAAGATACATTAATCGTTTTCAGGATTATTTCCAAAATTAAATTTTCTTTTATAAAATTATAATCTTTCATTTATAATTAGTTTCATTATTTACAAACTTAAATACAATATTTCCTCTATTTTCGAACAATTCGGTTCCCTAACAAAAATTCGAAGAAATAAATATATTAGAATGGTTTAGAAATGCCTTTTAGTATATGAAAATGTCCATTATTTAAAACAAACATTTTATTTGAAGTATTTTTAATCATTTTTGGAACAACTTTTGTTTCAAATAAACAATAATCTGAACTTTGAAAATGTATTATGTTTGACATCAGTATTCCATTAGAATATGAAAAAAATAACATTAAATCAACGATAAAAATGAAGAAATGTTACAAATATAACAATAAATCTGTTATTCTCATATTATGTTTCACAATTTCCATATTTTTTTTTACATATTCCAAATATAAATATTTATAATCATACATAAAATACATAGCAAATTCTTAGACATGTGATCTCCAAAATTATTCAGAGAGGGATAAAGTTATAGTACATTGGGGAGCAATTTAGGTAGACAAATGATGTAGGAGTAGTGAAGCTAGAAAAGTTATGGGTCACATGTAGAATCCCTATGCATTTTAATAGTTCTTTTAAAAAGCTCATTTTCAAACATGAAACTATATCTTGTTAGCTGTTACAGCTATTGTTTGCATTTATTATCATGGGTACGTTAAGTCTAATTATATTATAGAAATTAATGTTTATAAATTACACAATTTGCATTATAAAATGATTTTTTGTATGTTTGTATTTCAAACAATATTTACGAATATATTTACATTAAAATATTTATTAAATTATATGATATATATAATTTATTATTGCCAATTAATTGATATAAATATAAAATAATAATATTGCAATAGTCAAACAAAAATAAGCAGTTAACAAACTTTCGTATTACGAACATACCGGACAACGAACATTTTCGTATTTTTTTATGATTTGACACAAATCAAATGTTCGGAAATTTAATAAAAAGAAAAATAAAAAAAGGACACTATAATAACTTAATGAAGAGATGATACAGCAACCCTACTTCAAATATACAATAATTATTTATGCACTTGCAAACATTGATTTATTGATTATTAAAATCGGTTGGGTAAATCTTGCGGTTTAAACCTCTTCAGTCTTTGACGATGATCTACAGCAGTGATTCCCAAAGTGGTTTATATCGACCCCCAGGGGTCTATGACAACCTGCAAGGGGTCATGATAGTGTATCTCAACATACACTGATAGTACCTATTACTATCTATTATACTATCTTATAATATAAAGATATATACATTATTTATAAAAGTAATTATGAAGTAAAAAATGTATTATATATGTTTATAAAATTGTGTAAGTTGTAGGATGTAGGCATTTGCTTTGTGGTTGCAATACATTTTGAACTTGTAAAAACCTGCATATAATGATATACCAGTATCATCTTGTTACAAACATACGCAGTCTCAGAGCAAAGATCTTAATATCAGGTAAGTAGGGGGTCTACCCAAAACCGAAAAACATGACAAGGGGTCTACGACACAAAAAAGTTTGGGAACCTCTGATCTACAGTATGCATCAGCTCCGTAGCCAGTTAGTTTGGTTGATTCTCTAGCCGATTATAGTATCTTGTGCTAGCCTTTGCTATTATTATTTAATAGGACTGGAAGATAGGTCTGTCGACGCATAGTAAACGTCACATGCATCGACTTAGCCTAGTTGGCTATAGTTCTCCACAGTTTTCGATGTTAATAAGGCGATGCCAGGATTGCAGTGTCATCAGCGAACGTGGCCACAGTGACTTGTTGAGATGTAGGCAAGTCCGCCGTGAAAAGGAGATATATCAAGGGGCCCGAAACGCTTCCCTGAGGGACTCCAGAGCTGATCGGTCGTAGAGTAGTCATTTCGTCATTGTGTTTAACCTGAAAGTGCCCACCCGTTAAGTATGATTTAAAGATGGAATAGTATACGTGAGGAATCAATGAATCAATAATCATATAAAAAATATTTTGTTGAAGGACTTTGATCTATTAATTTAATTATTGGAATAAAAGCTTCCTTTGTATAGAACATACATCTAAAATTATAAAATATTAATTAAAATAAGTGCTGCATGAAACGTTTATTATTAATAAATTTGCTTTTCCATTTTCCTTTATTTGATTTAAAATCAATTTTTATTACTTAACTGAAAAAAAAATGCAATGAATATTTAATGTATTTGATAATTTTGATATAGTAAATTAGTATGTGCGATTGATCGGTGCATTATTTTTTATCCATATCTGCGGATGACGTCAAGTGTCACCATTCATACAATTCAATTTAATATTATAAAAGGCTTATATAAAATTGAAGATATTTATATAGGCATTGCTAACTTGAAAATGTGAACATCAAAAGTTTTTTTTTTGACAGAAACAAACATATGATGCATATACCCTACTTTCGAATCGAGTTCAATCTAACATCTCAACGGAAATAGAAAGTCAATTTTGTACAGATCATTGAAAAATATCTCAAAACTTCTTCTATATTTATATATTATACAACAACGTAAATTTACATTATATATTTATTATGTAATATACATAAATAGACAAGAAAAACTGAATTGGTAGATTCAAATAAATAGTCTAACATATGTTTTCATTATTTCATTATTCTTAATTGAATTTAAATTAAACCTTAAATATTTAGGGAAATTGTTATTCATCTAAACAATGTTATTTAAATTTAAAAACATAATTTGAAATTATTTTTTCTTTACTTGCTAGTTGTTTAATAATTATTATAGAAAGTGTAAAGTATCTAATTGACAAATATTTTTAGTATAACTTTTCTTTTATAAAAAATAATTGTTAACACATTTAGGATCAGATGACTATTATATTTCTTTAATCCAATGTTTGAGTCAATTTAAATTAATATTTGGATGCAACTGAATAAAGATCTGCAATAATGAATAAACATAATACAAATGCAATTTATTGCATGTAAGCTTAAAACAGCAGCAATTAAGGGAATAAACGAAGTGAATGTAGAACACAGTTCTTGCCAAAATATCCATAATTGACTGCGAGATCAAACGCGAGATCAAACAAACCATTTAAATTTCACACAGGTTCACGTTTCAGTCGATTCGAAGATGTTGGAAGCTGACATTACAAAGCTCACAAACAGATGTTGATAGTGGTTTATTAGATGTATCTAAGAAAGAGATAGTATAATTTATAGATGTTGAATAATAAATATTAATTTCAAATAGTGAATTCAGTAAATGTCAACATAGTTAATAAATGCAATTAATTAAAATCCATACAATGATTCTATTCCAAATTGTCATGAATTTTGTTCTTGTTAACTAAACTATCATTCGTGTTTTTCAAGTCATTTAAACTGTCATTTGTATCATTCATACTGCCAAGTATGACATAGATTATCCTTTGTACTGTTGTTACAATCAAATTAAAATGTATTAGAGCATTTGATAAATTAATGTTGTTGAAGGACAGAAGCAGATTGTAAATATTGATTTTATCATGATGTATTTACATTAAGATTCAATATATCAAAAAGTATGTTGTGCTTAAAAAAAATGATTTTAAAACCATTAATACCGACAAAGAATATATGTTTGCAAAAGTAGGTAGAATATGGTGGTTGACAGAGTGTTTTCAAGTTGAGCTCTTCTAGTTTGAGGTGGAGTTTCTGGTGGAGATTTGTGCTGTAAGAGGTTTGGCCTGTTTATATTTACCTTTCAAATGGATTAGAATTGTTGAAATTGTAACGTCAAACCTTCCTCTTAATTCACGTGTAGTTTGAGATGTTTCCACTGCAGTTTTCGGCTTACCATGTTGGTTTATTTTAAATATCAAAATTGCCAAATCTAAACTTCTCAAACCATCGACGTGCTGTGTGTTTATTAGCCTAATACTTCGTTGACACTTCGAGTTGTAAGCACTGCATTAGTTTAGCAATGGAACTTATATTCAAAAATAAAAATTAATCGAAAAAAGGCAATTTGACAGATAATCACAAACAAAAACGTGCATCTGAAAGAAGTATCTTCAAAAGAAAATAAATTAAATATCAAAGGTATAAAAGTTGCTACTTGAGGTACATTTCATACTTCCTTAGTTTATATTTACTTAGTATTATCAATAATAAATATATACCGCATTTTTATATTCTACTTGACAGCTTAACAGCAAATGTCCATATGACATGCACGATGAAAACATATTTATGTGAACACATTTTACAAGAAACCTGAGTAAAATGCAAGACGTTTTAAATTGGACGTTAACAATGGCACATGCTAGCAGTTTGGATATATGCCGAGCCGCGTGTCGTTTATTAGATTCAAAATAGTCACAAGTAAAAAGAGCAAAACTATTCAAGATGGTAAATATAGGTCAGTGTGCGGAGCTACTTCATCTCTTTCGTTTGATATTTCAACATATCCGACTTTCATATAAACATCAAAATACACAATTGAAAACAACTGTTCAACTGCTGATATTATTACACCAATATTTGTATAGTGCGAGTTATTGGTTCCGCCAATATTTCGAACTAATCGAAGACATATTTTATTTTAAATTTTCAAACCTGATTCAAATGAATACGGACTGATCGAAGCCGCACAATGCATCCACATTAAGGTTGTTGTGGGCCCTAAGCGCCAGTTAAGTAGATTCAAATTTAAATATGTTTGATGGATCCGTGATTGAATCCGTGATGAAGCGTGGGCTAGATAATTTTGATTTAAATGTTTTTATGGATAAATATTTATTTAGATGCTTTCCTCATCATTTCAATTAAATTCTAATTCAACTATTTTATATCTTTCGTAATCCTCCAAATGTCTTGTAGGCCTTAGGCCTATATGATAAGATGTCCCAAGCTGAATAACTAAATACTTGTTTTGATATATTCTCAGTATTACAAATTATGTTGAGATGCCTCTGCTTGATATTAGTGCTGTAATTGTTGATTTTAGTAATGTGCCACGTGATATATTGACTTATATGAGGATGTGTCACCTACGTAAGCGGAAGTCGGGCGAACAGTTTGCTAATTAATCTTATTTAGCAGGTAGTGAAGCTGTGCTAAAATAGCCGCAGGATGCTTTAAAGTAAAGTTTACCTAGAGGATGAAAATCCTGAGTCTTGGTGTATACCCGAAGTATTCTACAGTGAATGTAATTTCTCCATGTACAAAGCGTGTTAGTGTGAGATCATTAATTTTCCTACCGAAAATAAATGCTTTTGTGTCCGTTTGAGTGTATGTGCGCAGGAATCAGGCCATTTGAAATATTAATAAAGTCAACAAGAATAATTCCCACGACGTGCAATGCGATTAGTTCGTGTCTCATTACTTACAGCTCCTTTCACCGATACAACTATAAATTAATTTTCTTTTCGCTGCACATTCAGTTAAGAAAACCGTTACCATCTTCACTATAAAAAAACTCAGATTTGTTTAGCGGATAATACACATTCTTGTATTATAATTAACTGTTTCAAATTACTGCGACTAGTATAATTTATAGTTTAGATAATATACGTTTTTCAATTAAGTATAGTGGACATTCATTGAGGTTGTTTAAAGGTGGACAAATGACTTCCCCATTGTTGAAAGCATATATGTTAAACAATGGTGGCTAACTCGTATGAAAATTTAATTGTCGGTCAAGGATATGGCAGTATAGTTGACCTATATACATACAAGATGAGGTACGAATATAATTTTGATGAAAATAAACTTTTTTTTTGTAAATAATATTTTTTTATAAGAAACTAAAAATATATTTACAGAAATCCAATTATTTTTCATTAATCCTAATCTTTGGTTTTATTTTTTAACATCATTGTCCTTTAATATACATTAGTAAGATTACATTTGTAATAATGCTCAGTATTATAACATTATTATAAAACTGCAGATGCATCATGAGTTATTAACCGAAAAAAGTATTAGAATTATTAAGAAAATGCACTAGCTTGATACAGAAAATCTGTGGTTTATTGGTTCCGTCAATATCCCTGACTGTTGGTATTCGCACTAATCGAGGACTTTAAAACCGCATAAAGTAAACTGCACAAAACGAGACTTAACTCTACAGTAAAACTTTGTTTGTGCGGTAGTGCGGGAGTGCATAAAAAAAATCGCACAAAAAAAATTTGAATTTTTCATAAATTATTACATATAACAAATGACATAATATAATACATTAGAGAAACTTTTTTTGCGGTGCATAAAAAAAAATCGCACTTAGAAAATACGTCAAAGATTTACGAAAATAAGAAAGTGCATCCAATCAAAATAAATAATTAAATTGCACATGGAAACATTTAATTTATCATTGTATATATGGAGAAATTTTCAAAATGCATATACATAATTCACTGCTAGTCGTATTAATCCAAAACGAGCATCTTCTTGTGATGAATTGGTTCCAAATCGACTAACAGAATCGTTTGAGTAGATTGTACACTGAGAGAAAACATTACAATGACGCCGTTGGAATTTGTTGGATTTCATATACCGCATAAAAAAGGACCGCACAAAAACTGTATAAATTGAAAAACGTGTACTATTATTTTTTTATACAATTTAAATTGAATTTAGTTTGTTGTTTAAGTCATTTTTGTTTCTTTTTTTGTAAAAAAAAACTAATATCTGAGGGCTATGGACAGAGGCAAAAGTCCATACCAATCTCACTAGTTTTAAAAAGTTTTATATACTTATTTAAAGTTATAAAAATTGATTAAAATGAAAATGAAAAAAAATAGTTTGTTTTGTAATTTTCAAACCTTTAGCAGTGAATCGGGGACGATCTAAGGCGGTTTATGCGAGGTATTGCTGTGGTAAAAAAATGTATGCAGTATTACTATATCGCATAGTCCTGTTTAAT